CCGACGCGGGGCTCGAACCCACGAACCGCGAGATCATGACCTAAGCGAAAGTCGGACGCTTAACTGACTAAGCCACCCATGTGCCCCACGGTGATTAATTTCTTGATCACCAGTGGTGCCTCACCTGTCCTTATTGGGGAAACAGCTCTGTATTACAATGTTCGTGAACTACTTTCATGTTTCCTGGTTTAAGACAAGACTACTTTATTTTTCCTTGACAACTAACTTTATTCCAAAGACGTTTTCAAATTTTAGTGTGCATCTGAATCACATGAAGAACTTTTTAGAATCTGGGGATTTGACTGTTTGGGAAGTCAGTGGTTCAGGGAAGGGCTCAGGGCTCTGCAGGGTTTATTTAATAAGACCTTCAGGGGAATCCATTATGGGTAGTCCCCAGGTCACAATTTGGAAGGGAGCCATGCTCACCACTATACCACCAACGCCGGCTCCAGGGGAAAACACTGGTGAAAATACATTATTTCCTGCGATTTCAGTTCTCTCTCCCTCAAATATAGCCCTGTCTTGCTTGTATTCTAATATTTTCCACCCCAAAACTATGGCGCTATTGACTTTTAGAAGCATCCCTGTCCTAAGCTCTCATGTCATTTAGATGGAGTCCTAGAAAAGAAGTTTTACAGATGTTAGTAACATGGTAAACTGTTACCATTTGTTGAGCACCTGCTACCTGCCAGGCACTATGTGAATGCTTTACAAACGGTATTTCATGCAATACGACAACTTTTCACAGTAGGTGGTAGTATACTCATTATACAGAAGGGGAAAAACCCTCAGAGAGATTATATAACTTGTCCAAAGTCACAGTAACATACAAGGCAGACTTGAGAGTCAAACTCAAATCAAAGCCCTTGGTGTTTCAGATATACAACCCCCTTTAGTCTTGTGTAATTATCAATAACATTAAGGATTACTGTTATTTCTATGAGGTCATACCCTAAAGAAATATCTTGGTCAACTTTGACTCCAGACGCGGGCCTTTAAGGATTCAGCAATCCATTCACTCATTCATTTAATAGCACTTAACTGCGCAACTATTGTGTGCTAGAATCTGTGCTGGGCATAAAGAACACAAAGATGAACTAAAGTCTCTAGTATTATGGATACAGACAAATATACAGGCAATTTATAAAAAAAGTGATAAGTGTTCTAATTCTCCTAATTAATCTAAAATTTGATATATCCTTCAATAAAAACACAAACAGCACTGTTTCTGGAATAGGAAAAGCTGGCTTTAAAGTTCAGTTGGAAAAATCAAAGTGTAGGAAGAGCCAGGACCCTCGAGAAAAAGTATTGAGGGAGAAGTAGGCATACCAGTCATTAAAAGAAAGTTATAATGATGAGGACAGTTTGGTAATAGCATATGAATAGGTGGATTAATGAAATGGAATAGAGAATCCAGAAACAAACTCAGATACAAATGGGAATACACTATAGAGTAAAGGGATATTTCACACCAGTGGGGAAAATATAAGATTATTCTGTAAAGCATTGAGGCAAATGTGTAGCTCACTGGAAAGACAATACACAAAAATAAACTCCAAATGGATCAGAGACATAAATATTTATAATATAAAATTATAAAGTTACTTGAATTGGGGGCACTTGGGTGGCTCAGTCCATTAAGCATCTGACTCTTGATTTCAGTTCAGGTCATGATCTTGCAGTTCATGATTTTGAGACCCACGTTGGGCTCTGTGCTGACAAAGCGGAATGTGCTTGGGATTCTCTCTCTTTCTGCCCCTCTCCTGCTCACTCTCTCTCTCTCTCAAAAAAAAAAAAAACTTTAAGAAAAAGTACTTGAAAGAAACATGAGATAAAATAACTCTGATCGAGGAAGGTATAAGGATGGTGGGTGACTTTTTTACTGCATTGCCTTTTGCATCTTTTAAAATATATTTATAATGTATTAGCTATTAAAAAAATGTTGAGTGTTTGTCCAGGGAGATAAAAGTTTCTCTGCCATAAGACAGTGAATAGGGGTAAGAAGTCTCATGAGGCTGGAGAGGTTAAGAAGGGTCAGGTCATGAAGGGCCTAGATATGTTAAAAATGTGGACTTTAGGGACACTTGGGGGGCTCAGTTGGTTGAGTGTCCTGACTCCTGATTTCTGCTCAGGTCATGATCCCAGGGTTATGGGACTGAGCCCTTGTCAGACTCCACACTAAGTGTAGAGTCTGCTTAAGATTCTCTCTCTCTCTCTCTCTCTCTCTCTCTCTCCCACTTTGTTCTCTCTCTACAAACAAACATAAGGATTTTATTGTATGAATAATGGGGAACTATAAAAGGTTTTAGAGCATGGGGAATATTAAAATACAGCATTTTGCATTTTAATGTTTTTTAAAAATTGATTTCTGAGAGAGAGAGAGATGCAGCGTGAGCAGGGGAGGGTCAGAGAGAGAGGGAGACACAGAATCTGAAACAGCCTCCAGGCTCTGAGCTAGCTGTCAGCACAGGGCCTGATGCGGGGCTCGAACCCATGAACCGCGAGATCATGACCTGAGCTCAAGTCGGACGCTTAACCGACTGAGCCAGCCAGGTGCACCACATTTTGTATTTTAGAGAGGTCACTTTCAAGTATAAAGGGGTGCATAGATTGGTAAGGGATAAAACTGAAAGTGGGGAAATAAGACTTCTCCCAGAGGAAGGAAGATGGTGGTCTGAACCAGGCTGGCGGCGAATGCTGATAGAGAGGTGGATCCATGTGAGAGATGTTTACCAGGGAAGACTTGTTGACTGACTGGATGTTGGAGGTGAGGGAGAGGTCTTAAATGATGTAGAGATGGAGAAGTGGTGGTAACAAAGGATAAAAGAGCCGGGTTGGGGGAATAGGGATAGATTAGATAACGAGTTCAGTTTATATGCCTCCCAAATGTCCAACTGGAAATGTCTACTAGCCTGACTTAAAAACCTGGAGCTTGAAATAGAAATATAACTGGAGGGGCACCTGGGTGGCTCAGTTGGTTAAGCGTCCGACTTCCGCTCAGGTCATGATCTCGCGGTCCGTGGTTCGAGCCCCACGTAGGGCTCTGTGCTGACAGCTAGCTCAGAGCCTGGAGCCTGCTTCATATTCTATATCTCCCTCTCTCTCTGACCCTCCCCTGCTCATGCTGTCTCTCTCTCAGAAATAAATAAAACATAAAAAAAAATTAAAAAAAAAGAAATATAGCTGGAGGTAATGAATTGGGGATCCATCAGTTTATAGATGGTAACTGAAGCCCTGTGAGTAGATGAGATCACCCAGGGAGAGCATTTAGTGTGAAAAGCCCCAAGACAGAACCTAAGAGGCAAGATGAAGCGCAATACAAAATGTTCCCTGAGAAGGGGCTACAGAGGAAAACAACACTCAAGAGAGTGGTGCGGAGAAGTCAAGTGAAAAGTATTTTGATGAGGAGGGTGTGTTCCTCAATACCTTTAAAGGCTCAATGAGGTCAAATGAGGAGGAAATGCAGCATGTAAGTACTGGGGAGTTACTGCAGATCGTGGGGAAAAGTTGAGTGGAGGATTGATTGAAGTTGAACGGAAGATGAGGTGGAAGGCATAGTGTCTCCGGAGTGGAGGAGACAGTCTGTTTAGAGTTTAGTTAAGACATAGAGTGGAGCAGCTGGGGGAAAGACATGGTTGTTTTCTCTCTTCTCCCCTTCCTTCCTCCTTTCCTCCCTTCCTTCCTTCCATCTTTAAGGGTCAGTTGAACGCATTTAAAATGCTAATGACATGGGGCACCTGGGTGGCTCAGTCGGTTAAGCATCCGACTTCGGCTCAGGTCATGATCTCGTGGTCTGTGGGTTCGAGCCCCGCGGCAGGCTGTGTGCTGACAGCTCAGAGCCTGGAGCCTATTTCAGATTCTGTGTCTCCCTCTCTCTCTGACCCTCCCCTGCTCATACTCTGTCTCTCTCTGTCTCAAAAATAAAATTAAAAAAATTAAAAATAAATGCTAATGACAGGGGCGCCTGGGTGGCTCAGTCGGTTAAGCATCCGACTTCGACTCAGGTCACGATCTCACGGTTCGTGGGTGATCTCACGGTTCGTGGGTGATCTCACGGTTCGTGGGTTCGAGCTTGACTCTGTGCTGACAGCTCAGAGCCTGGAGCCCGTTTCAGATTCTGTGTCTCCCTCTCTCTGACCCTTCCTAGCCCGTGCTCTGTCTCTCTCTGTCTCAAAAATAAAATAAACGTTAAAAAAAATGCTAATGACAAAGTGCCAATACAGAAGGCGAGACAGGATAGAGGGAAGTATCTGTAATACCACAAATGAAGAGGCCGATGCAGAGCTGATGAACCGCGCGGCCTTAGGAATGACACCCCTTCCAACGTAACCCAAGAGAAAGGAAATGGGGAAGTCGGCAGATTCTAAAGGTTTGGTGCAGGGAGGGGCACCTGGCTGTTTCAGTAGGTAGAGCATGAGGCTTTTGATTTCTCATGGTCGTGAGTTCGAGCCCAGGTTGGGGGTAAAGCTTATTTAATAAATAATTTTTTTTTTTTTTTAAAATAGAGGTTTGGTGCAGGGAGACCGATGGAATTTCGGTTCGATGCTTTTACTTCTTTCGGTAAACTCCGCCTGGGGTAAGGGAGTTGACTTTGCGTGCGTGGGGATTGGAGGGGAGTGTGGGCTCCTTTTTTTTTTTTTTTCTTGGAAAAGGCGAGTGCAGGGGTGTGTGCCCCGGGGAGACGAAGGAAACCGGTCTGCGCCGGCGCCCTGCGGGAACAAGCCGGTGGGGGACGTGGGAGAAATCGGCGGGGCGCGCTGCCATTGCAACAGGACGGCGGGGCGCACCCCGCGACCGACTGGAACCGGACCGAGCGGGGGCGTCTCAACACAGCCAGCGCTCGCGAAACCGGGTGACGCGCCAGCCAAGAATCCCCAAACATGACCACAAGCGTCGCAAACCTGGGCCTCAAATCACTACGCGAGCGCTCCTGCGTCAGAGTGCGAAACGTCATCATCCCGCGACGGCGACGCAGTAATAGGACGCCCTCCCGGAAGTGGCCTCGAGAGCTGGCAGTCAAAGTGGCAGCCGGTGGCCTCCGAGACCAAATCCGGGGAGGTTGCAGCTGAACGATTTCTCTGCGTTTCCTCTGGCTCCCTGCTCAGTCCCCCAGGTCCGCGCAGAGAGGAAACTTCTCCGTCGTCATGGGGGGCGGAGATCTGGTAAGTGTGGGAAGCCTGGGCGGGAGAGGACCGAGCGGGAGCCGGACCGCGTCTGGGGACGGAAATTGGACGGTGTGGGAGTGGGTGACCATGGCTACACAGCCGTGCTTTCGCGAGAAGGGAGCCGTAGCCTCGGAGAGGGTGCCGATCTTTGGGGCCCCGGAGGGACCGGGCGGAGACTTGGAAAGGTGTGCGAAGTGTGTCGCCAACGGTGGCGGCAGGTGTTTCTGTTGTTTGTTGGCGGGGACCCTCCCGGCTGGAAATTCTGGGAGGGGGGTGGTGGTGATGGTGGAACCTTGCCTACGAAAGGAGGCGGATACCGAGTCACGCAAGCTTTACTTTGTATTATCTTGTCTTGGGACCCTTCTCTCTTCCTCAGCTGGGAGTTCAGTCATATTTTGGGCTATAGTAGGAGTGGTTTGTGCCCCATTCTCTTTGTCCTTGGGTCGGATCCAGGGGTCTGTTTTAAACCGGAAGGGATCTTCCTCGTGTCCACCTTTCTGACTTCCACTCCTTGTCAGTGCTTCACTCTGATCTGTAGTGACAGAAGTTTCTTCTGAATTTATAGCACTTAAATATAAGTGGTGTGGCAATTTCTTTTGAACTGTGTAGTTCATTTGTAGGGTGCTGAAGCCCCGGATAGGGCAAAAGACCCACAGGGGTACAGTGCAAGGTCAGAAAGATGCTAACCTCTTGAAAGTGTGGCCGATTGAATCAGCAAATAGATCAATTTCACTTATCCAGTATCTGTGTTAGAGTTTGTTAGGTGTTACTGATTAGAATGCTTTCCAGGACTCCAAGCGCCATACGCTTTAGTGTATTATTCAGGTAACTGCATTTAGGGACAGGAAAGCTCTAATTCAATGTTTCTCAGCATTGGCACCATTGACATTTTGGGTCGGGTAAGACTTGGTTTTGAACTTTTTAAAATTTTTAAAATTTTTTTAATGTTTATTAATTTTTTTGAGACAGAGAGACAGAGCATGAGCTGGGGAAGGGCAAAGAGACACAGAATCTGAAACCGGCTCCAGGCTCTGAGCTGTCAGCACAGAGCCCAATGCAGGGCTCGAACCCACGGACCACGAGATCATGACCTGAGCCAAAGTCGGATGCTTAATCAACTGAGCCACCCAGGCGCCCCTAATTTAATTTTTAAAATTTTATTTTAGAGAGAGCGAGCGTGAGCGCCTGAGCAGGGGAGGGACAGAGGGAGAGGGGGGAGAGAGAGAGAGAGAGAGAGAGAGAGAATATTAAAGAGGCTCTGCACTGAGTGTGGCTTAATCCCATGACCCTGGGATCATGACTTGAGCTGAAATCAAAAGTCAGATGCTCAACTGAGTGAGCCACCCAGGCACCACTCTTTGTGTTGCTTGTGTGTGTGTGGGGGGGGGGGGGGCGGGGACAGGGGAGCTGATGGTCCTATGCACTGTAGAATGTTTAGCAGCATCCTTGGCCTCTAGCCACTGAATACCAGTAGCACTCTTCTCTTGTTGGGACAACCAAAAATGTCTCTGGACATTGCCAGTTGTGGAGTGCGTGGGGGGCAAAATCACCCATGTTAAAGGAGGGAGAGGAAGACCAGTGGGACGAGGCTAGGGATGGGATGGGGATAGGGGACTGAGTGACCTGATGAAGGGAAAGGAACGACAAGGAGGAAGGGGGAAAAGGAAGAAAAGAGAGCCCTCATTGACTGAATACCTTCTACATGCAGTACCTTCTGTGGGTTTTCTCATTTAGGCCTCTGGTCTCAACCTCTCCCCTCTCCAATCCATTCTTCACATGATCACTAGCCATGCCTGCATATGGCTGTTTAGTGTTTCCTACCGTCCACAGGATAAAGCCCACTTCCTTTACATGGTTTCTAAGGCCCTTACCCTATTCGTGTCTTAATTGGTTTAGCTGGCTTCATCTTGGACCACCCTCATCAGCTTGTCTGCCGTGTTTGGCCACACGAAATCATTTGTACTGTGTTCTTTCTTGCCACTGGGCCTGCAGTTGTGTGTGCTGTTCCCTCTGGAAATCTGCCCCGACTGCCCCCTGCTTCCTAATCGCTGGGCTAAATGATAATTGTCCTTTGATGGTCCCTTCTACCAGGAAGCCTTCCCTGGTTGGGAAGCTGAGCCAAAGCAGTGGCTTATGGGGGAGAGGGAGAGGAGAAGCATTCTTGAAGTGCTTCAGGGTGCAGTGTGAAGGGGAGCTCAGAAGCAAGGGGAGATTCCCAGGAAGGAAGGGTGAAAGAGGTACTCGGTGGGGTTGTAAACCACGAAAGGTTAAGGCAGGTTAAGTGGACTCAAGGGAAGGAAGATCGTGTTCGTAAAAAGGGAGGTCCCCTGCCAAAGGCACTTGGCTTCTGTTGCCTTTCAGAGTTTACCCTCCCACCTCTCTGCCCACTCCCCCTTGACTGTCATCACCAACCCTTAGTTCAGGCAGGGCCAGTGGGAGTCCGAGCCATATGCATTTCAAGTGAAAGGGGTTCACAGGGAATCCAGACAAGGCCTGAAGCTTTACACCCGTGAACGAAACCCCTGGACCGGGGGGAGACTGTCGGGTGCCAGCCTCACCGCTGTGAAGGATGCCTGGCCCTTAGATGTCTGCTTTGGCGTGCGCAGGGACCAGAGGGGTCGGTGGTGGTGCGGCCCAGCCACCCACTCCCTGTGTCGCTCCCCCCCTCCTTTCATCCCCCAGAACCTGAAGAAGAGCTGGCACCCGCAGACACTGCGCAATGTGGAGAAGGTGTGGAAGGCTGAGCAGAAGCATGAGGCGGAGCGGAAGAAGATTGAGGAGCTGCAGCGGGAGCTGCGGGAGGAGAGGGCGCGGGAAGAGATGCAGCGCTACGCCGAGGATGTCGGCGCCGTCAAGTGAGTGGGGAGCCGGGGCCGCGGGGAGGCGGCGGGGCTGCGCGTGTCCTGGTGTGCAGGGCCCTGCAGCCGCCTCACTGCTTGCAGACCTGCTGGTTAGGAGCCTGGGTTTTGGAGTCGGCCCGACCTGCGCGCAGCCGAGGCTGGCTTTGTGTGTGCCAGGCCCCCTGCGTAACCGAGGGCGGGTTCGGGGCCTCCGTTAGCTCAGTGGGACCGAGGGAGCGAGATAACACCTGAGGGGCCTGGCGTGGCCCCAGCTTCTGGCAGGTGACGGGCAAATAGCCCTGCGTGGGCATGATGGCCTGCAGCCCGCCTCTCGCGTGTGTCCAGGTCTCAGACCTGCCCTGGTTCGTGTAGGGACCGCAGACTCGCTGCAGGGGGCGCACTGAGGGCTCCTGGAGGGAGGTGGACGGGGCGTCTGACAGTAAAAGCTACGGGGCCGCGGACAGGCCCGCTCGGTTTGACCCTCCTTCCCTTTGCTCTTGTATAAACAGGGCAGGAGTAGCAGGTGATCGTCAGGGTGCCCGCCTCACACAATAAGGTGGGACGGCGTGTGTTCCGAGAAGAATAAAAAGCACTAAACGTACAGGGCGTCTGGAGTTCCGTGCAAGCAGCACGGGGCTGGGAACTGAGCAGTCAGCACTGTCTCTTTGTTCGTGTCCTCGTGGGCACGTCCCCGGGGCGCCGCCCGGCACACTCTCCCCACTGGGCGTCTAGGGCTCTTCCTCTAGTACTTCATGGCAAGAGGATCTGTGACATTCAGGGTTGTGTGCGTAGGTGAAAACTTAGTTTCATGTCATGCAAAGGCGTTATGGACATGGTGCCCTGGCGACAGTCACATTCTTTTAGGATAATAGATTAGGGGGAAGGCCCTTCTGACCCCAGTAGGAAATTTGATATGTTTAAATAAGAGTTTCAGGGGCGCCTGGGTGGCTCAGTCCCTTGAGCATCTGACTCTTGGTTTCGCCTCCAGTAATGATCTCATGGCTTTGTGGGTTTGAGCCCTGCATCGGGCTCTGCACTGACAGTATGGAGCCTGCTCGGGATTCTCTCTCTCCCTCCCTCTCTCTCCCTCTGTTCCTCCACCACTTGCGCTAGCTCTGTCTCTCTCAAAATAAATTTTATTTTTACATTTTAAAAATTGTTTTATTTATTTCTGAGAGACAGAGGGGCAGTGTGAGCAGGGGAGGGTCAGAGAGAGAGGGAGATACAGAATTCAAAGCAGGCTCCAGGCTCTGAGCTGGCTGTCAGCACAGAGCCTGATGTGGGGCCTGAACCCATGAACCGTGAGATCATGACCTGAGCTGAAGTCAGACGTTCAACCAACTGAACCACCCAGGCACCCCTCAAAAGACATTTTTAAAAATTTTCAAAAAAATAGAGTATTACAATTAAAAAAATTTTTTTATGTCTTTATTTTATTTAGTGAGACAGAGACAGAGAGCAAGTGGGAGAGGGCCAGAGAGAGAGGGAGACACAGAATCTGAAGCAGGCTTCAGGCTCGGAGCTGTCAGCACAGAGCCCAACGAGGGGCTCAAACCCACAGACTGTGAGATCATGACCTGAGCCGAAGTCGGATGCCTAACCAACTGAGCCACCCAGGCGCCCCTAGAATTTTTAAATACAACAAAATATATTTATACATTAATATGTCAAAACAGATAAGAGAATGAAGTTTTATGTTTTTTGTTACTGTAGACACACATTAAATTATTTTGCTTTATATTATTTATGTAAATTATGCATATAGTGAGTGAGAGTGTGTGTGGGAGAGGGGCAGAGGGAAAGAGCGCGAGACTCTTAAGCAGGCTCCACTCTCAGCACAGAGCCCAAAGTGGAGATAGATTCCACAACCCTGTGATGATGACCTAAGCTGAAATCAAGAGTCACTCAACTAAGCCACCTAGGTGCCCTAATTTTTTTTTTTTTTTTTAGGTAAATTCTGCCCCTAACATAGGGGCTCAAACTCACAGCTCTGAGATCAAGAGTTGCATGCTCTACTACTGAGCCAGCCAGACACCTACGTTATAATTTAATGTAAATAGGGGCACCTGGAAGGCTCAGTTGGTTAAGCAACCAACTTTGACTCAGGTCATGATCTCATGGTTCATGAGTTCGAACCCCGCATCAGGCTCTTTGCTGTCAGCTCAGAGCCTGCTTTGGATCCTCTGTCCCCCCTCTCTCTCTGCTTTTCTAACTCTTGTGTTCTATCTCTCTTTCAAAAATAAGTAAACATTTTTTAAAATGTTTAACAAAAGATAGTAATTTAATGTAAATAAATTTCACGCATTCAGATTAATTCCTGGGCAGCTTATAAGGTGAACCCACATTGTTCTATGTGAAATTTTAGACTTTGAGAACCCTGGATTTTAAAACAGATACCAATTTGAGATTCAGTACTCAATAGTCATAAGAGTTTGCTTTCCCACTAACTAAAGTTTAAAAAAAATTATTTTGAAATTTTCTCTTTTTTCTTAAGATTTAATTTTAAAGTAATCTCTATACCCAACATGGGGCTCGAACTCACAATCCCGAGATCAAGCATTGCATGCTCTTATGACTGAGCCAGCCAGGTGTCCCTTGAAATTCTTATTCAGCAAAGCATTACACATCAAATGCTTGATGTGTCAGAAATCTAGACTTTGCAGAGTCTAGGTAATGAGGTGGGAGTATCTATATACAGCTTCAGAGCTGGGAGCTAAATGTTTACCCTTTGCTGACCCTCCTGCCTGCTTCTCTGTTGTGAATAGGAAGAGGTTGATTTTATATTCTTTTGTTTTTTTTTTTTTTTTTTTTGCCCCCTCACATATCCTCCAACAGTATAAAACACAGAGATCAGCATCTACATCCTTTTTTTTTGGTCTTTACTTCCAGATGTATTTAATCGTCTGCTTGTCCATCTCACTGCTTTCTGGAGTTCCTTGCACGATGGCATACTTTTAATATGTCCTATAAAATGCCAGTAAGAACCTTTTACTCTCTAATGATTCACTTCCATGGGTCAGATCATTCTTCTATGTTGTGATGCATTGCTCAGAACAAAGAGAAACCTTAATACACGCGTTATCCTGGATGTCCGGACTCCTCTTTGCAATAGAATGTTGCTTTAGTATTTACTGATAATGCTAGAAAATTATGTGCTCCAGCCAGTGGTCTATTTCTGCGTTTCTCAACCTTTGCCCTTTAGAGTGTTCTTGGAAGATTAAAGATGGGAGTGGTTCTCTAAGAATAGCAGGAGGTATGTGGGGCAAGGGCATCTGTATATCTTAAGAGCTCTTGGCGATCCTAATGGGCAGCCTTGACCGAGAACCTGGTCTGTGTCCGTAATGATAGCACCAACAAAATTCTACAGATCATTTTGCTCTGACGTGGCTTTTCTCCCACGTATCTTCTCATCTAAAAACTCATAGTTAACAATGAGAGAAGGCGGTTACTAGCTCTGTCTTAGACATGGGGATCCGGAAGTAATCTGCATGGTGACCCCACCCGGTTAGTGGTGAGACCAGGGTCTCAGCTGCTCAATGTATTCTCTTACCAGAGGGCCTGCGCAGGACTGATACTTGTTGAGTCCCTTCAGGACTCAATGGTTGGGGTGCCTGGTTGGCTCAGTCCATTGAGCATCCAACTTCGGCTCAGGTTGTGATCTCGCAGTTCGTGAGTTTGAGCCCTGCATCAGGCTCTGTGCTAACAGCTTTCCTTCATTTACTTAGCTTCTTCCTCATCCCTGGCCGCTCTCTCCCTTTATTCTCTCTCTGTCACAGTGTCTTCATTCCTACAGCGACGCTTGTCTGCTGCTGGCCCCGAGGCCCTGCAGCACGGGCTTAGCTCCCGGTGCTTAGCACCGCTAGGGAATTCGTGGGCCGCTGTGCCTCAGGGTAGCCTGTGAGCAGCCCGGCTGCCTGAGTCTTTTCTGTTCCCTGGCCTCTGCTGTCTGGCTCCTAAGAAGTAGCAGAGCAAATGTTTACAAATGGATACATGACTGTTTATCTCCTGCCTCCCCATCCCCATTAGTGGCGAGTGGGTGTGCTGAGGCACAGTCCCTCCAGCCATCTTTTAAAGCCCCCCTGCCCCAGTCACCAAGACCTGCTTTTCTTTCCAAACGTACTGCCTCGCTCAAGAGCCATTGGCTATGAAATGGCAAACATGGCACACGCGATCACCAGGCAGTTAGCTGGGACTCACAAGTGAGTAAACTGTGGTCCCTGCTACCCAGGAGTGTAAGAAAACCTGGTGGGAGAGAGAAGCACCTACATAGCTAAAAAGGGCCAGTCAGTGTTTACTTAGTGCTTCCTTTGTGCCATGCACCCTTCTGAATGCCTTAAAAACAACTACGGTCTTTAATCCCCAACAAACCTGAGAGGTAGGTACAGTTGTATCCTCACTTTACAGGTGAGGACACCAGGGCTCAGAGAAGGTGCTTGGCTTTAGAGCTGGGACTCAAATCCATGTTGCCTGACTCCAGAGCTAGCGCTCTTAACAGTTATGTTGATTATACGGCCTTTCAGGAAAGTGAGCTTCCTAGAATATTCTAGGCATCACTGATCTTCGTACTCAGACTTCCTTAAGATCTGATGTGGTCTGCCTTACACAATCAATTCTTTTTTTTTTCCGCCCCAGCCGTGGAAGTCCCAAAGGAAATGATGGTCATGTTTCCCTGTTATTTGCCCTTTGTCCTTCATCTTCTAAGCACTTATTATATATTTTCTTTAAATGCTGTTGGAGGGGCACCTGAGTGGCTCAGTCGGTTAAGCGTCTGACCTCGGCTCAGGTCATGATCTCATGGTTCGTGGGTTCTAGCCCCGCGTCAGGCTCTGAGCTGAAGGCACAGAACCTATTTCGAATTCTGTGTCTCCCTCTCTCTCTGACCCTCCCCTGCTCACGCTGTCTCTCTCTCTCAAAAATAAATAAAACATTAAAGAAAATTAAAAAAAAAATGCTGTTGGACATTTATTTTAGTCACAAATACAATCCAAGTGTGGATGAAGAAATGTATTACCTTTTTACACCTTATCCCCTTCCCCTATGTGCTAAATGTCTCTTCATAGCCTACTTGGCCATAGTTATGCTATGGCTTAAAAACAGACTGTCCCTTGTCTTCCCAAATCCTTCTTGAACTATAACTTATTCTGTTAAAGAAGGCCTGGGAAAAGAAGTCCTCTTGGCATTGTCCATATAGTCTCCAGTGGGGAGGGTGGTAACCTAGTTGAAGGCAGCTGGGAGGAGTCTTCAGCAAACTAAGGACCATTGAGAAGCTGCACAAAAGCAAATCTTGTCATCCGGATACCGGCTCCTCCAGTTAAACCATCACCCATCACAGCTGACCCAACAGCCATGGCCACCGGTCCATTTCTGGCTGCCAGTGTGGCTCCTATCAAGGCAGCTCATGTGATGGAGTTCCAGAAGTCTTCTTTCCCTCTATCTCGAACCATCCAACAGTCCATCGTGGAAAACAGACCTCCCCAAACCACAGAGCTGCCTCCCAACTGTGGAGGCCTGATTTTAATAACCATCAAAGTCTCTTGCTGTCTCTGGTTTCTTCTACCTGGAGAATGGTAAGAACCTTTAATGGCTTGAAAGACCCCACTATCTGTGTACTCATCATAAAAGCCCCACCGCAGTCTTCCAAGTCGCCAGGGCATGGCCCTCGCTGTCCTCCATCTTGACTCCAGTGGCGTGAGTGAGGCTGGGCAAGGTGGGTGGAGCCCGACCCCAGGAGCCCACAATCCATTTTTAACGATAGACTATAGTGTTTCTCAAACCGATCCTTTTGATAGGAAAAAACCAAAACCAAAACTAAAAGAATTATGACCCTCCATTATTGGTTTAAAGTATTCTTATTAAAAAATGTCCAAAGACATAAGTAGGAAGACATTCTTTATGCTCACAGTTGGCATGTAATCTTAAACAAAAATAAATACACAAATTTTAAAAAGCCATATTCAAAAACCATTGAATTTAACGTTACAGAGAATATTATTTTTGAGGAAACTGCTTAGCTGCTTGCAGTGTAAACATGCCATTGGCTGCTTTGGCACATGCACTTAATTTGGGGTGCCTTTACTGTCTGTTATGTGAAGGTTGAGTTTTCCCACCATCTTTTTTTTCTCTCAGAACCACAGGGCCCTATTTGTTTGGCAAATATCAGACCTAACTGGGCCCCTCTCTTGTGACTGGAAAGCATAATTTCCTTATTCAGTTATCTCTGGTCTTTTCTCATTATCTTCTCAAATGTAGAATTACGGCTTGTGCCCACGTGATGGTAGGCCCCGAAACACACTTTGAACACCCGCATCCGTGGTCCCTGAGGCTGTTCTTGGTCATGAGGTGACGCGGACTCTGTTTATTGTTCCAGATTTTCCTCGAAATGAAAGCGTAACATAAGGCCTTTGTAAAGGAGGCTTGGGAAGCCCCAAACAAAGGTCTGTGCCTCAGGTTGAAGGTTACTTTCTCCACAGAACTTGCTGTAAGTGTGTAGAAACGGTCTCTCCACTCGGTGGTAAGCCCCATGCCAGCAAGCACCGTCTCTTCTCATGCGCCACGTGGAGCACAGTGCTTAGTCCCTACTAGGTGCTCGGAGAATGAGTCCCGCTCTTGCCAAACTGTCAACTCTCCCTCGTGTTTGAGTTGTATGCGTAGGTCTGCAAGAATCTACGTTTCCTTTGATTTGTATTTTTTTTTTTTTTTTGTCTTGAACTAGGAAAAAAGAAGAGAAGCTGGACTGGATGTATCAGGGCCCTGGTGGGATGGTGAACCGTGACGAGTACCTGCTGGGGCGCCCCATTGATAAGTACGTTTTTGAGAAGATGGAGGAGAAGGAGGCAGGCTGTTCTTCGGAGACGGGGCTGCTCCCAGGTTCTATCTTTGCCCCCTCCGGCGCCAATTCCCTTCTTGACATGGCCAGCAAAATCCGGGAGGACCCCCTCTTCATCATCAGGTACGGATGACGGGCTGGGGACGGTTGTTTCCCATAGTTGCTCTGCATGGCTTTTGTCTGCCCTGTAAAAGGATTGGTCTCCATTCGGGCTCCCTGATGTTGGGAAGGAGGCTCCCTCCAGTGTGTCTTATCCAGGCCATGTGATAAGAGACGGCAAGTGGACGAGGCCAGACCAGGTTTATTCATTTACCTTTGGTCCTGGAACAAAAATAGGGGTAAGAAGCAAGTAAAGGGGCGCCTGGGTGGCTCAGTCAGTTAGGTGTGGTTTTGGTTCAGGTCATGATCTCGCGGTTCGTGAGACTGAATGCCCCTTTGGGCTCTGTGCTGACAGCGCGGAGCCTGCTTGGGATTTGCTCTCTCTCTGTCTCTCAACAATTAAAAAGAAAAAAAAGAAGAGGGGTGCCTGGGTGGCTCAGTCAGTTAAGCATCCGACTTCGGCTCAGGTCATGATCTCGCGGTTCGTGGGTTCGAGCCCCGCGTCGGGCTCTATGCTGACAGCTAGCTCAGAGCCTGGAGCCTGTTTCAGATTCTGTGTCTCCCTCTCTCTCTGACCCTCCCCTGCTCACACTGTCTCTCTCTCTCTCTCAGAAATAAATATAACATTTTAATAAATAAATAAATAAAATTAAAAAAAAAAAAGGCTGGCAGCTTCTTGGAAATTTGGGGATATGTATACAGTGAGATAAGTGGGTGAACAAACCTTCTACCCCCAATCCCTCCTTTTTTGTGCAGCCAAACCCTTTAAAAAGAATCTTTTTTGAAACCCTAGTATGTAACATATCAAAATGGAGTTGCATTTTGCCATGTGCATTAATTTGTTTGGTTTAATTTGGAGGATTGTATTTCAAGTGGATAAGGTTGAACATCGAAAAACATATGTCATTTTTATTTCTTCTTTTGAAAACATTTTTAAGTTATTTACATATTAAAGGTATTGAATAGATACATGTAAAGGTATTGTATAAAAGTTTATTTCTTTTGAGAGATAGAGTGTGAGCAGGGGAGGTGCAGAGAGAGACAGAGAGAGAGATTGAGAATCCCAAGGAGGCTGTGTGCTGCCAGCTCAGAGCCTGACTCGGGGCTTGAACTCAAGAAGTGCGAGATCATGACCTGAGCTGAAATCAAGAGTCAGACGCTTAACTGACTGAGCCACCCAGGCGCCCCACCATTTTGTTAGCCCCTTAAAATTAATTAAATTGTGGTTAATTGTGTCAGCTGTGCTGACAGGCTCAGAACCTGGATCCTGCTTCGGATTCTGTGTGTCCCTTTCTCTGCTGCTCCCCCACTTGCACACTATCTCTTTTAAAATAAATACAGTAAGAAAAAAAAGTTTTTCACCTTACAAAACTGAAAGTCTTTCCTTGTGAAACAAGAACTCCTTGCCCCAGCCCCTGCGAACCACCATTCTCTTTTGTGTTTCTGTGAGTTCTACTACCCTAGGAACCTCATGTAAGTGAAATCATACAGTAATTATCTTTTTGTGGGACTGGGTTATTTCACTCAGCATAGCGTCTTCAGGGTTCACCCATGTTGTAGCATGTATCAGAATTCTTTTCCTTTTTAAGGCCAAATAATATTCCATTGTATACATCCTGTTTGTCTCTTCATCTGTCAGTGGACATTTGGGTTATTTCCACGTTTTGGCTATTGTGAATAACGCTACTATGAACACTGATGTACAAATATTGTGCATATTATTTTATAAGCTTTTTTCACCTAATTATAGCAAACATCTTTCTATGTCACTATGTTTCTATAATGCTATTTAAAAAAAATTTTTTTTTAATGTTTTATTTATTTCTAAGAGAAAGGGAGAGACAGTGTGAGCAGGGGAGGGTCAGAGAGAGAGGGAGATACAGAATTTGAAGCAGGCTCCAGCCTCTGAGCTAGCGGTCAGCACAGAGCCTGACGTGGGGCTCGAACCCACGAACCATGAGATCATGAGCTGAGCCTAAATCGGACGCTTACCCAACTGAGCCACCCAGGTTCCCCTAAACAAAAATATTTTTAATGTTTATTTTTGAGAGAGAGAGAACATGCGAGTGGGGGAGGGACAAAGAGAGAGGGACACACAATCTGAAGCAGGCTCCAGGCTCTGAGGTGTCAGCACAGAGCCCAACGTGGGGCTCAAACTCAATAGCCATGAGATCATGACCTGAGCTAAAGTTGGACGCTTAACTGACTGAGCCACCCAGGCCCCCAAACTCACTCTTTTATACCACAGGGAACCAGTGTGGACTTACCCCACACCATTCAGTCCCTTCTGCAGATTTGGGGAAGATTTCTGGCTTCTACACCATCATGTAGCCTGTCTGTATTTGGAAAAACAATTGCTAATTAGACTCATGGAGAGTAGAGTGAATGACTTATCCCCTTCCCAAAAGAGATAGCCATGATTCTTATAATGCCCTCTTTCTCTTTAGGAAGAAGGAGGAGGAGAAAAAAAGAGAGGTGTTGAATAATCCCGTGAAAATGAAGAAAATCAAAGAATTGGTAAGTAGTGCATCAAATAGGCACCAAGAGTGTCTTTTAGCTACTTCACGTGAGAACTACTCACCATTCACTCTTACTTTGTGAGAGGTAAAACAGAATGGCTTTCATATTTTGACTTTTAGAGACCCTTTCTTGGTGATTTTATGCAGTCTTCGTTATCAAGCTTAATTAAGCTTGATTTCCTCCTTTATGTTTTTTGGTTGGAAAAACACCATTTGATGTCATTATTTTATTTTATTTTTTTTAGAAAAAGGGCAGTGTGGGATAGGCCTGTGGAAGTCCTGATCACACAGTGTGTTCAGGGGATCTGGTGGCATCAAGTCTCTAGGGCCCATGTATCATTCACGTGACATATTCTGCGATTGTGTTTTGGGTTAACTGGCAAGGAAAATGTAAAGGTTGATCTTGCAGTCCCTGATTGCTTTCGGTGGAGCTTGGAGTTCTTTTTGTTTGTTTGTTTTGTTTATTTATTTTTGAGACAGAGAGAGACAGCACAAGCAGGGGAAGGGCAGAGAGAAAGGGGGACACAGAATCTGAAACAAGCTCCAGGCTCCAAGCTGTCAGCACAGAACCTGATGCGGGGCTCGAACCCATAAACCATGAGATCATGACCTGAGCCAAAATCAGACGCTTAACCGACTGAGCCATCCAGGCACCCTGAGTTGGGAGTTCTGAAGACAGACTGGAAATTCCTAGGTGCCAGTTCTGGGGATGGTTTAAAAATACAGACTCCTAGCCCCTCTCACCAGAGATTCTGCTCAGCAGTCTAGGAGCTGTTTATATACCACCAAGGTTAAGACTCGCCCCCTCTTGTTGACACGGAAACCCTGCTAGCATCTTGGGCCTCTGTAGTCCCAGAGGCACTGAGTCAGGTAGTTGGGGCACGAACCAGGCCCCTCAGAGGGACCGACAGGGGTCGGCATGATCTTGCGTGATGCTATTCTGGGTGTTTTGTAGTTGCAAATGAGTCTGGAAAAAAAGGAGAAGAAGAAAAAGAAGGAGAAGAAAAAGAAGCATAAGAAACATAAGCACAGAAGCTCCAGCAGCGATGGGTACAGCAGCGACGATGAGCGCAGCCGGGGGAGGTGAGCATGGTGGGGTGGGCCCCCCCTCACTGACTCATTCACTCATTCATTCCCCCATGTCGGCAAGGGCGGCTGCTCTCGGCTGGCAGCTGCCAGACACTGGGGTGCAGCGGTGAGCACTCGTATGTGGGCCCCGTGCCCACAGAGCTTGGCCATCTCACACCAGAGTTCCTTGGGGGTCTTGGCACGGCTGCCCGTAGCCTTGTAGGTCTTAGCTCAGACGTCCCGGATGTGACTTTCAACTCAGCTTGTGACTCCTCCAAGACCGAAGTGGGTTTTATATAGGCCCTTTTCCTTCCTTCCTTCCTTCCTTCCTTCCTTCCTTCCTTCCTTCCTTCCTTCCTTCCTTCCTTCCTTCCTTCCTTCCTCTCTCTCTCTTTCATTCTTTCTTTCATTAATGGGCCCATCTGGGCCCATTCTGCATGTCTTCTCCGTGGGAACAGTGAGCACTGTCGCCGCTGACTCACTCATAGTCCCTGGAATAGCAGCATGAGGTGAGAGGAGAGTGTGTTCAGGCGCTGGGGCTGAAAAGCCAGGCCCACGTGTTTTCACAGGAAAAACACGACTGTGCTGATGCATCTTTCGGCAAAGACAGTCCAGAGCGAGAGCCACGCTCCCAAGGGATAGCAGAAGTGGGGAAGGTCACGTTTGAAGCAGGAGGAGGCACGTTTCAGCACAAGACGTTTAAACTGGACCTTCGTGCGATTTCTTTTTCCAATGAATGTGTGCTTTAATCTCTTAGAGCTCAAAAGAAGATGGCAGATTCTTCCCCTGTTTTGTCCAAAGCCCCTGGATACGGCTTACAGGTGAGGGTGTGGGCATCTCCGAGGAAGTGACGGTGGGCCGGGGAACGTGCTAACTCAGAGCCTTTGTGGACAGAGAGCGTCTCTAGCAGCCACTCAGATGTCCCGTGGGAAGCGGGAAGTGTAGGCAGCCAAGGTGGGGACCGCGGGGGAACTGGCCCATTCCTTTTCCCTGAGCCTCTGACCGGGGCTGGGGGCCCTCTGAGCGGAGAGTCTAACCCACCAGTGGGGCCCGCAGGTGATCTGCCTGTCCCTCTGCAGATAACTTACAGGAAGTGCAGGCATTTTAAGCTTCCAGGTTGATGAGTTTTGACAGATGGACATCCCTCTGGATTCCTTTTTCTCTTAGTAGGTCTACCTTAGGTCCTGCTGTCCATGCTCCGTCTCCTGCCCCTGCTCAGGCTTTGGGGGAAGTGCCAGGCCTGTGGAGGTGGCTGGGTGGGGACATTCTCTTAGGGGACACTGCAGATAACTTTGCTAAGTTGGAGTGGTTTGCCGCAGTATCTGTGTGATGGGCACGGTACGACCGCTTGGCTTCGTACAGCCCCCCAGTGCTTACTCGTTTCCTTGTGTTACGGCATTTCCTCCTGACCTGCACATTCGCCTCCAAACACCTTTTCTTCCTTTCCTCCTTTCCTTGATGCTACAGATCAGGGACTCCTACCACAGCCAGGGAACGCAGAGTCCTCTGCCGCCCAAGCAAAAGGGAATGCACGGGTTGAAGAATTATTCCAGGTCCAGAAGCTCCTCCCGCTCACCTCCCAGACATGCCAACAAGAAGAGCACCAGAGAAGCGGGGTCCCGGGACAGGAGTTCTCACTCCCCAGGCAGAAGGTCACGGTCCCCAAGGCCAAGCAAACCGTGAGTGTCGCAGTTCATTGGGAAATGGCCTGTAAGTGTGGGGACTGCTCACCGCGCGTATTTCTGTTCATTCATTTTTCCAAATGCCTTTGCTTTACTTCCTTTATATCATTTCCCCCCACCGCCACGTAAACCTCAGGCCCCCAGAACTACATGTTTCTATATGTAGGATCTTTGGAGTGAGTTTAGTATCAACCGTTCTGTATCTTTACGTGTTTGTTTTTCTTCCGTCCCCTGCCCTCTGTTCTCTTCAATTTGGATAATTCTAAGACTGTTGGCTTTTCTCCCATTGTTTGAGGGACACGATAAAAAGCCCCCGTATTGAAAAGGCTCTTCTCCTTTCTGCCCTCTGTGTGTCTGTCCCAGGCACAACAAGGTCAACAGGAGAGAGAGAGGCCGCACTAAGAGCCCATCGCCTAAAAAAGAGGTCTATCAAAGGCGCCATGCTCCTGGATATACCAGGTGAGTGAGTCAAGAGCCCTGTAAGTGAACTTTAGACTTTGCGGGCCTGAGTCTCGGAGTGGCTCAAGGCATGGCAAGTGGATAATCTACATCACCTTTTTTTTTTTTTTTTATAAAAATTTTTTTTAATGTTTATTTTTTTCTTTTTAAAAAAAATTTTTTTAATGTTTTATTTATTTCTGAGAGAGTGAGACAGTGTGAGCAGGGGAGGGGCAGAGAGAGAGAGGGAGACACAGAATCTGAAACAGGCTCCAGGCTCTGAGCTGTCAGCACAGAGTCGGATGCAGGTCCCGAGCCCGTGGACTATGAGATCATGACCTGAGCTGAAGTCGGATGCTCAACCAACTGAGCCCCCCAGGCGCCCCAATAGTGTTCCTTTCTTGAGGCATCAGCTGAAGGAGAAGGAGGGTGCTCTCCTTGAGGGCAGACACCCTAAGACAGACTGTGTGTTTGAGTTGGGCGTGTGGTGGCTTGGACACAACAGGGACATAAAGCCCTGGGACCTGAGGGGAGGTGGCTGTGCCCATGAAAAGCTGTCCCTGGGAGCCTCTCTTGCTCTTCGGAGAATTTAGAGGAGCCGGGCAACTCTTGTGGACTTCCTTTTACTCCCCAAACAAATTGGCTATGCATTAGAATCACCTGGGAAGCATAAAAAAGAAAAAAATCCCATTACCCGGCTATACCCGAGCCCTACTACATCAAAATCTCTTGGAGTGGGCTCAGACATCAGTATTTTTAAAGCTCCCGTGATTTCAGGAGGCAGCCAACATTGAGAACCACCGAGAGTCTATACCCACCTCTTTTATTCACCGTGTTAAAAGAGAGGCAGACCCTAAACTTCCCTTGTAACTCTCTCTCTTTTTTTTTTTTAATATTTTATTTATTTCTGAGAGAGAGAGAGTGTGAGCAGGGGAGGGTCAGAGAGAGAGGGAGACACAGAATCTGAAGCAGGCTCCAGGCTCTGAGCTAGCTGTCAGCACAGAGCCCGATGCGGGGCTCGAACCCACAAACTGTGAGATCATGACCTGAGCCGAAGTCGGATGCTTAACCAACTGAGCCACCCAGGGGCCCTAGTTGACTGACAACTTTTAAAAGCATGTTATATATTTCCCTGTCTTCTCACATAGAGTATGTTATGCAGAATTGAATCCGTTATTAGTTGACAGTTTTTCAGCTGTACTGTAATTCATGCTGCTCTTAGGGTAGATGCTCGTGAGTGTAAATATTTGTTTCTGTGTTTTAAGGCTGTGGTCAGCATGCTTTTTCATATCTTGCTTTGTTTTTCTGTCTTTGTTGCCATCTACCATCACTTTAAGTTTACTATTTACTTACTTATTTAAGTTTACTTATTTATAAATTTACTTATTTACTTATTTATTTTGAGAGAGAGACAGCACGAGCAGGGAACAGGCAGAGAGAGAGGGAGAAAGAGAATTCCTAGCGGGCTCCACACTGTCAGCACAGAGCCCAGTGTGGGGCTTGAACTCATGAACCGTGAGATCATGATCTGAGCTAAAAGCAAGAGTCGGATACTTAACTGACGGAGCCACCCAGGCGCCCCTCACTTTAGTTTGTTTTATTTTATCAGCCTTCCTTATCTCCCTTACAATTTGTGTTGAATTGTGTGATTTAAATGGTTTAGAGCCCTCAAGACCTGCCTTCCCCAGGAGTAAAAGCACAGAAACTTTAACGTGTAGATTTTATGATTTCATTGTCTGTTTGGTTTGGTGTTCCAAGTGGTCAAGGTTGTTTTATGTAATGAAGACAATGCTGAATTGAGAAAAAGAAAGATTATGGCCATAATCGAGAATTCTGTGAGAATTTTTTCTTTTATATGTATATTTTCTTTTAATTGTTGATCTAAAATGGCTTTTTTTTAAAAAATATTTTTATTTATTTCTAGGAGAGAGAGAGAGAGACAGCATGAGCAGGGGAGGGTCAGAGAGAGAGGGAGACACAGACTTTGAAATAGGCTCCAGGCTCTGAGCTGGCAGTCAGCACAGAGCCCGACGTGGGGCTCGAACCCACAAACCGCGAGATCATGACCTAAGCGAAAGTCGAACGCTTAACCGACTAATCCACCCAGGCGCCCCTAAAATGGCTTTCTTAATGGCTGAAAAGATGAAGCTTCTCCTTTGTCATGAGATGCTGAATTTAAAGTAATTTTTATGGGCCAAGACTGTGTTTTTTCTTGTAAAAATTTTTTTGGGTTTTGTGTGATTCCCATTTAACTAATATTATTTTTGATTGCTTTTGAATTTCTTACAGGCAACACAGCATTTTTATAATTTAAAAATGTGTGTGCTCAAAACAGACAAAAAACCGCCACTATAAGGTCACACCCCAGAAATGCCTAAAACTCCTTTGGGGCTTATAAATTGCTCAGAATAAAAGTGGCTATGGGAGATAAAAAATAAAGCTAGTACTCTTATATTAATTAGTATTATTATAGAGGAACAATTCCTATTATTATAGAGGTTTAAATTATTTTGATCAGATAATACACTTTTTTTAGAGATACTTTTTATTTTTTTATTTTATCTTATAATATTTTACATGTTGTATTTATTTTTGAGAGAGAGTGAGTATAAGCAGAGAAGGGGCAGAGAGAGGTAAGAATAGAGGATCCGAAGCGGGCTCTTCGCTGTCAGCACAGAGCCTGATGCGGGGCTTGAACTCATGAACCGTGAGATCATGACCTGAGCTGAAGTTCTACATTCAACTAACTGTGCCACCCAAGCTCCTAATTTTTTATTATTATTATTATTATTATTATTATTATTATTTTATTTTATTTGAGAGAGAATGCGAGTAGGGGAGAGGGGCAGAGGGAGAGGCAGATTGAGAGAGAATCCCAAGCAGGGGCTCAAACTCCCAAACTGTGAGATGATGACCTGAGCTAAAATCGAGTCAGAGCCTTAACCAACTGAGCCACCCACGAGCCCCTAATAATAGACATTTTCAAAAGTCAGAGCCTTAACTGACTGAGCCACCCAGGAGCCCCTAATAATAGACATTTTCAAAAGTCAGAGCCTTAACCGACTGAGCCACCCAGGAGCCCCTAATAACAGACATTTTCAAAAGCCAAAAACTATTAAATATCTTCTCACAAAGGGCGCCTTTTGAGGCACAGTGCCCAGAGCCTGCTTCAGATTGTGTCTCCCTCTCTGTCTGCCCCTTCCCTTCTCACACTCTGTCTTTTCTCTCTCTCAAAAATAAAAACACTACCAGTTCCTTGCTCTGCCTGACCTCACTTCCAGTCATGCCGCCCAGTGGCAAACACTTTCAGCTTTTTGAGCAGTTTCTTTTGGCAGCTACCTGTTTCTAAAAATATGCACACGTTGCTGTGTCTTAAGTCATCAATTTTATTTATTTATTTATTTTAAAATTTTATTTTTTAAAGTAATCTCTACCCCTAATGTAGGGCTTGAACTCACAATCCCGAGATCAAGAGTCTCATATTCTACCAACTGAGCCAGCCAGGCCCTTAGGTCATCAATTGTATTTATTTTTTATTTTTAAAAAGTTTATTTATTTTGAGAAAGAGAGCACGAGCAGGGGAGGGGGAGAAGGGGGGGGGAGAGAGAGAGAGGAGAGAGAGAGTGAGAGAGAGAGAGAGAGAGAGAGAGAAACCCAAGCAGGCTCTGCACTGTTACCACAGTGCCCAACACAGGGCTCGAATCCATGAACTGTGAGATCATGACCTCTCTCTTTCCCAGATTTTATTCCTGGGAAATTTTCTCGTATCATTTCTTTGATAACTTCTTCATTCTCTCTGATTTCTAAGAGCTCTTTTATGTTCTGATTGTTCCTTTCTAAAAGCCTTTCTCAGGGAGCCTGGGTGGCTCAGTCTGTTGAGTTACCAACTCTTGGTTTCGACTTTGGTCATGATCCAGAGTTGTGAGATTGAGCCCCACGTTGGGCTCCGAGTTGAGCCTGCTTAGGAGTCTCTCTCTCTCTGTCTCTCCCTGCCTGCCCCTTTCCCCCTGCTTGCATTCTCTCTCTTTAAAATTAATTATTATTATTATTATTTTTTTATTTTTTTTGAGGCAGAGAAAGAGCATGAGTGCGGGAGGAGCAGAGAGAGAGGGAGACGCAGAATCTGAAACAGGCTTCAGGCTCTGAGCTGTCAGCACAGAACCCAGTGCAGGGTTTCGAACCCACAAACCATGTGATCATGACCTAAGCCAAAGTCGGACACTTAAGTAACTGAGCCACCCAGGCGCCCCCCCCTCTCTCTCTCTCTCTCTCAAATAAAAAGTTAAAGTAAAACAAAAGCCGTTCCCATTTCAATGATGTAATATCTTTCATTTATTTTCTTTGAGTGAGAATTTTAATTGTATATAATTTTTTTGGTGCCAATTTTAAATAGTTTTATTTAAAATTAATTCTACCTTTTAAAAAATTTTTGTGGTTCCTCTTTGTTAAGTTCTCTTTTCCTTTTCCTTTGGTCTCTTCCATGTGGGAGACTTTGCTGAAATGTTCAGTGATCTTTCACTGTCTCCTTTTGCTCTGCCCGAGACCTCTGCCACTTCTGATTTCCTGTCTGGTTTAGTTCTTCAGAAACTACCAGAAGGGCCTCCCCCTGGATGGTCTCCTGTAGTAGATGTTTGGGAGGACAATCATTGGCCTCCCCAAGTTAGGCATGAGGACCTGGGGTGTCTTCATTGTCTCTCATACAGTCTTGAAATCATTCCCTTTGTTTTCAGCCTTACTTGCCATCCTTCAAAGTGCCAGGTGCCCGCGGTCTCTGAGCCTCTCCTGGCTTTTGCTTCTGATTGGTACCAGACACTTGAAGGGATTCAGTTTTCTCTACTCTGTTAAAGTAGTTACCACTTCCTCGTCCACTTCCATCTTCCAAAAATTTTTAGATGTCTCTTATCCAGTGTTGTCTCCTCTGCCGTTCTTTTTGTGGTTTTTTGAAAGGGAGCATTGCCATTTCACTGTAGACAACTAAATGTCAAGTGTTTTAAGTTTGTTTCTCAAAATTTGGCTCCATTTATGTATGTATGTATGTATGTATGAATGAATGAATGTATGTATTTTAGAACTTTATTTATTTTGAAGTAATCTCTCTGCCCAATGTGGGGCTTGAACTCATAACCCTGAGATCAAGAGTCACATGCTCTTCCAACTAAGCCAGGCAGGCACCCCTTAGTTTTTATTTTATTTTATTAAATATTTTTTAAATGTTTATTTATTTTTGAGAGAGAGACAGAATGTGAGCAAGGGAGGGGCAGAGCGAGAGGGAGACAGAATCCAAAGCAGGCTCCAGGTTCTGAGCTTTCAGCACGCGGGGCCTGAAGTCTCAAACCGTGAGATTATGACCTGAGCCAAAGTCGGACGCTTAACTGACTGAGCCACCCAGGCACCCCTTATTTTTTCTTTTAAGGGGGATCTTTCACGGGGTGCCTGCCTGGCTCAGTCGGAAGAGCTACGGCTCATGATCTTGGGGTTGTAGGTTTGACCCCCATGTTGGGTGTAGAGATTACTACCAAAAAAAAAAACAAAAAACAAACAAAAAAAACAACCAGAAAGAAAAACTTACAGAGGGATCTCCTTTTTTTTCTCTAAAGATTTTATTTTTAAGTAATCTCTACACCCAACATGGGGCTCAAACTTACAACCCCAAGATCAAGAGTCGCGTACTCTACTGGCTGAGCCAGCCAGGCACCTCTAAAAGGGGATCTTTCAAATGGGTACATCACACCCATTTGAGAAGCAATGGATTCGGATTTCTCACATTGTTAAATAATGATTGAGCTCCTTCGTCACCTCCTCTTGCTCTGGCTTCATGTGCAGTGGGTGCCTGGAAAGACCTACCTATTACTTGCTGAGGTGAAGTTGAATTGACTTGAATTCTTCAGGCATCTGGCTTCTAGCTTAGCCCTAAAGTGGTATGCTCATGTGGTAGGTCCATGAATTTCTGAGCATTTCCAGGGGGTAGATGGTAGAAGTCAACAGTCACGTGGCTACCTTAGTCCTCTACAAGTTGTTGTGCAAACAGTGGAATATTTTGCTTTTGGAGGGGAATATTTTGTTTTTAATGTTTCAGAATAATCACTCCAGGGACTTTTGAGAGACTATGGAATCCTTCAGTACAAGTCTTTGAAATTTGGACGAAACCACCTGACCTCAGATGTTAGGAAGGAAGGAACACGGGCTGAGTTGGGCCCTGGGTTGGGCATCTCCGTGGAGAGAGCAGTGTGATGGAGAACCTGGGGTCCTGCGTGATTTCTGTTCTCCCAGAAGTGTGTGTTTGCTGGGAAAGAAGCTGATCAGACAGAATGGTTTTCATGTTCGACAGAAAGCTCTCATCCGAGGAACTAGAGCGAAAACGGCAAGAGATGATGGAAAATGCCAAGTGGCGGGAGGAAGAGAGGCTAAACATCCTCAAGAGGCATGCGAAGGAAGACGAACGGGAGCAGAGGCTGGAGAAGTTGGGCACCCGAGATGGGAGGTTTATCCAGTGAGTGCATCTTCCTGCCGCCTAACGGCTTTCATGGCTGCACCTCCGAGGAGGCAGTTGGGCAGCTGAGTTGTTCCTCATGTTCCTGGTGTTTCTGTGTCTGTGCAGAGAGAACGGGGAGGTCAGCCTGCAAGCTACCTTTGTTACTACTGGCATCTCGCCAGACACTAGAGAGGAGAAGTGAATTAGTATTTTCACTGGATCTCCTTGCTTTCCATTTAAAGAAGAGCTCCTGGCTCAGGTGGCCTTTTCCTTCTTTTTTAAGTTTTGTTTTGCTTTGTTTTTGATAGAGAGCTTGAGCAGGGGAGGGGCAGAGAGAGAGGCAGAGAGAGAATCCCAAGCAGGCTCCACGCTGTCAGCACAGAATCTGACGTGAGGCTTGATCTCACGAACTGTGAGATCATGACCTGAGCCGAAATCAAGAGTCGGATGCTAACTGACTGAGCCACCCAGGCACCTCTCAGGAGGCCTTTTTCCAATGAGGCTTTACTTACTTTCCAAAACAAATAAATTCTGAATACTGGTTTAAAGAATTGAGTTTGAAATGGAGTCACTCCAAAGTTACCTACATGGGCTTAAAAGAGCTTGTGTTCCTACATCTGCTTTACAGCTGGCAACCTGTTTCTTATAATTCTGCCAGACAGTGGACCAGCTGACAAATATTTGTTACTCATAATTATTCTCTCCTCTTCTGTTCCCAGCCGCATGAAGCTGGAGAGCGCATCTACTTCCTCCCTGGAAGATCGGGTGAAACGGAATATCCACTCTCTACAGAGAACCTCAATGGCTCTGGAGAAGAACTTTATGAAAAGATGAAATCCATCCCGTCTCTTGTTGGTTTTCCTGAATTTTCCAGGGAAGCTGCTGATCCCTTAAAAATTCTCTTTATAAGAGTTCAAGTGACTTCTTCCACAGTTGTCAAACCACCACTGTTCAAAGTGACTCTCCTCCGGCGATTCCTGAAAACTGCTCACTTCCTTCAAGAACCCGTGTGACTCGCTTTAGGGGACCCTCAGTAACTTTTGCTGGGTGCTGAGTGGGTTTTGACTGTGTTTTTAATAGGTGGGCACTGGACCGTCTGGGTGTGAATGCTCGTCCTGGCGTGGAAGAGCTGCTCCCTGTGGTCATGATACTTAATTATGCCACTTCGTTCCCACCCACGTGAACCGTGTGCCTCGGTATAGACCGGACCTTTCAGAAACCTCTCTCTAAGAGTCATCCAGGTAGATTGTGCTTCGTGGGGTAAATGAACATTTACTTGATTTAGCAGATAATGTGACAGAACAGTGTCATCTTAGAGCAGAGCACAGGGGGTGACAAAGACTCTGGAAGGGAAAACCATACAGAAAAGGACTAAATGAGCTGTTGAACTGTTTGGACTATCTTCTCAGCTGTAAAAGTGTAGTGTGTATGTGTATAAATGTATAATTTTTACATGCTTTTTAAAACATTAGCTTTGTGAGAATATCTTGTTTGGTAAGCGACTTTACTGGGTATTGGAACGACATTGTATCTCGTTATCGAGTAATACAGTCAGGCAGGTCAGCTTTCTTTCCCCTCTGAATCCAGCTAGTTTAGGAGAAGCCTGGGTTTGTAGGTAGGATCTAGTGTATCCGTCCTTTTACACCGCTTACCGTCTCCCATGTGGGCAGTGCAGTGGTGAAGCCCAATGATTTTAGGGGTCAGGACCAAATTACCAGTGTGCTCCCACCCTGGCTCTTAAAAGAAAATAAAACGGAAGCTGTTTATTTCATGGCTTCCTTTTTATCATGTAATAATCTTCTCACAATGCTAAATTTTCAGGACGTGTTTGCTACTATTTTTTAGTCAGGTATTAAAGAAATCCCCAAAACTCATGGGACCAGTCTCCTGTCTTTACTCCTTCCTTCTTTTGCCAGAAAGCCCTCATTTGACCCATGCTGTTGTCCTAGGTGCTGCTGCCCCACACGTTAGCTGGGCCAGTTCCTTGTTCTGCTAATCCCTAATTCTGCTTCAAACGACTTTGGATTTATATTTTTGAGCACGTATGATGATGCCAGGCACTGTAATACTTAAAACCCAGTCTTTCCCCAGAAAGAAAGTAACATACACTTGTTATTCATTTAATCACCTCCTTCTGCTTCTCTATGCTAGAGTTAATTATGTCTTTTATTTTATTACTTGGTAATAAAAGCGACATTTATTTTCCGTAACTGTTTAAAGAGCAACCATGCGCGGAGTACTGAATTTACCAATTCCCCTACAGAACGCTATTGACCTGTAATTTGTGTCGAATGTATGGAGAGCCTTCGTCCAAGAGGAATTATGTAACAAAGCGTGGGCAGTTTCCCGAAAGATTTCATGAAGTGAACTAGAGAATTAAGACGACTATACTGCTCTGCTGTATACAGGACAGGAGTCTTAAGGTGCCGCCGGTCTTTTAACTGGACCCTTTGGAGGCAGGAGGCCAAGCGGCAGGTGGGTGGGTGCGGGACCCATTCATAAAACCCAGGGCTGCTCCTCTCATTGGCCCCGGGGGAAAGGGGCGTGACCCGCGGGTGGAGCGCGCTCCAGGCCCCGGGAGTGGGAAGATCCACGCTTGGGTGGAGCGAGGGGGCGTTCCTCGGTTTTCCCGGCAGGACTTCCCTTTCCCCTTCTGTGTTCCTCCTCTCTCCCCTGGGGTGGGATGGTACGTCCCACCCTCCTCGCATTCCCGGCCCCCCTCCCCTCCGGAGCTGTGGCGCCGCCGCCATCTTGGCACGTCAGGTTGAGGGAAAGAGCCAAACCCTGGCTTCAGGGGAGCCCGGACAGGGGGGGGGCCCTCCGGCGGTAGGCAGCGAGCCCTACCCCCAGCCCTCCTCCCTTTTTCGCTCCGGCGCAGGGCGCTGAGGCGTCCCCAGGCCGGCCGGTTCCTGTCAGGCCCGGGGAGGAGAGGCGGGCAGGGCAGCCGCTGCCTCCCCGGGAAGGGCGCTACCACCCGGGCAGGGAGGAGAGCGCCTGGTGACGGCGGGGCGGCGGCGACGACGCCCGGGGGCGGGGTGCGGAGCGAGCCGGCCGGCTCCCTGGAACGGGGCGGGGCGGGGCGGGGCGGGGTGGGCCGTGGGGGCGGGCCGCGGGGCGGACGGAACCACCGGGGCGGGGTGGGGAGGTAACGGGACGGGCGCAACCATGGCGCGGTGAGGGAGCGGGGGTGGGGATCGGTCCCGGGGAGGCCTGGGGCCGCTGGCTTGTGCGCCGTCTCGGCCGCCCCCCCTTTTGCCGCCGCCGCCGCCGCCGCCCCGGGCATGTCGTCCAACTGCACCAGCACCACGGCGGTGGCGGTGGCGCCGCTCAGCGCCAGCAAGACCAAGACCAAGAAGAAGCATTTCGTGTGCCAGAAAGTGAAGCTATTCCGGGCCAGCGAGCCGATTCTCAGCGTCCTGATGTGGGGGGTGAACCACACGGTAACCAGCTCCCCCGCGCGCGCCCCTCCGAGCGCGGCGCCGCGCGCTCCCACGCCCCCCCGCAGGCCCGGCCCTCGCCCTGCGGGCCCTGCCGGTGACGCCCGCAGCCCCTTGCCAAGCCACTTGCACGCCCACCCCACCCTTGCACGCCGTCCCGGCCGGGTGTGCACTCCCCGAGCGCCACGCGAGGCCTGGCGTCTCCGACGGTGGTAGACGGTGGTATGCCGTCGCCCCCTCCCTTCCCTCCAGCCCCTCTAGCTTCCTGCGCCTGGCTTGCTCGCTTCGGGAAGTCCCTGGAGCGCTGGGGGAAGGCCTGGGTGCGGCGGAATCGCTTTCATCCCTTCACCCTGTTTGTTGCATGTGTTTCCTCCCTTGTTCCTTTAACCGGCTGCCAGCTCACTGTCCAGTTGACAGGGCAAGTGGCATTGGCCTGCCTGAATATTCCTCTGTTTCTGGTTATTTGGTTGGTGTGGCTGCTTAAAGTTTCCCATCCTCCAGACCTCCTTACCCCTGACTCGGGAAATCCTTCCTGGGTTTCCTTTTTTTCTTCTTGCACAAGATGTATCAACTGGAGAAGCACAGGCTTCCTTGAACCACAGACACTTTACCAGGGTCTTCCTTGGTTAGGGAGAAGAGAGAATGTAACCATTTAAGAGAAGGTGAGGCCTGATTATAAGGAGGACTGTCTTTAGTAGAAATAATGTGTCTTCCTGCATTCGCCTGTGGTGTTCATGTCAAAGACACTGACTTCTCTTTTTATTGAGCTTTCTGTTGTCTGGTCGTGAAGGGTGTGATAATGGATGGTGGTTAGGACGAGAGGGCAGTCCCCTGGACCTTTGGGGTGCTTTGAGATTGTCCTATCAGGAAGTTGGAGCCCAGCATTAGTGCTTGAGCCGGAGAACTTTTTGTTTGTGCCCTGTGTGTTCAGGGTCTTTCTTTTTTTCTTTTCCAACCACTTGCTCCTTGCCTTCTGACCGCTCGCACTATGAGTGAGCAGAGGAGCACTCACACCAGGAGTGAGCAGAGGAGCACTCACACCAGGAGTGAGCAGAGGAAGTAAAAGGACCTGAAACACCAACTTCACCAACTAGAAGTTTGGAATGAGGAAGATGAAGCTGATGGCTTGGTTTCCTGTGAATTTCAGTTCTTGAGGCATCTGACTTTTCAGAGCCCTTGAAATTGTCTGCAAGATCAAATGACAACACAGGGGCCTGGGGCCGGCAAGACTTTTTGCTTCGCTTTGGTAGAGGGGCCTTTCTGCCGGAGATCGAAGAACCTTAGTCTGAGCCAGGGTGTTAGGTCTTTACATCTAGTACAGAAAAGTACATGCATGTGAGGAGGTCCTTGTTGGCGTTTTGGTCTCGGGCAGGTTACGGTTTTCAGGAACCTCAGTCAGGTGAGGGGCCTGGCCAGGGTAGGGACTAGCACGGGTTTAATTCCCAGGTCCCTGGAAGCTGCTCTGGGCCAGTAGCCCAGCAGACTGTGTTTCTACTGCTTCCTGCTGCTTCAGGGGTCATCTGACAACATTGCAAGGGAAACTGGGTCATCAAAATGTGAACCTTGTGTCCCTGCCTGGAAGTCAGTCCTTAATTTCGCTATACAGCCTGCTTCTCCCTAGAAAGCATCCTGTCTCTGTAGAGAACTGGGGGAGGTGTGAGAGGCAGGAACATTACAGCTAACTACCTTGGGTCTCTTATTTCATACACGAAGGAATGGAGGCCCCAGGTGGAGGATTAGCTCACCCATGGCCATGGCAAAAGATGCAGCTCATTGTCCGACACCATGGGCTGTGTTAGCTGCTGGTGGTGCTTGAATGGCAGGTCTCACTTTCCGTGCTTCCTGTTGCTCATTCTGTTTCTCAGCCGAGTGCCAGGACAGATGGGGATGATGGTCTTGTTGGAGAAGCTGAATGTAGGCTCAGGTATGTGTGCTTGTTGCACGCCAGTTCTCGGGAGTGTGTGACGTTCGGCAGCGGGCCTCTGAATGGCGGATGGATAGGCATCTGTGATTCTTACTTTCTTGGACTAGGTGGTCACCTCCTTCATTGCTAACTTGAAGAAAGTTAGTTTGAGGGCTAGCTGGAAAGGCATTGAGACATTTGGTTCTGGGTGTGATGAGCGAGCGCCTCAGGGGAAAGGCACTGGGCACCACTCCCTGGACAGGCCAAGCAGCGCGGGCCAGTTAGTTCCAAGTTTTATTGCGTCATCTTAGCCTGCGTTAAGGTCTAAAACTCTAGGGTCCCCATCTGGGAGATGGAGGCGTCTCCGCAGAAGAGTGGTATCAGATCTTGTAGTTCCCTAGGGGGTCAGGACTGCATCGTTGTTGCCGGATTGCTAGCCTTTCTGGGAGGTTACTTTTTTTGAGAAGCCCACTGGTGCCACTTTTTGCAGTCTGAGGTTTCAGCTGTCACATTTCTCTGATTCTTTAGTCTTTCACCCACTTAGGCATTTAGAGCATGATGGTCTGTGACCGATGGCGCGTGAGATGCTATGTCTTTGTGGAGAGCAAAAGTCGGTTATTCTGTCCCGAAATGGTTGATTACTTCTAGGTGGTAGAAAGAGAGGATTTTGACTTGATGTTGTCACAGGAGCTCCTCCCGTGGACAAGAGTTGCGGCCCACGGGTTTGGAAGGAAGGAAACAGAGGCTGAAGGAAACGGAGAAGAGTCGGAAGACTTTGGATCTGTCAGGGGAAGACTAGCAAAGAGAGAAAACCAGGGCTTTAGTGGATGAAATACAATTTAGAGGCTCTGGAGTTAGGGAAGAGATTGCCTTGGAGAGGGGCGTGGAGACCAGAGGTGTCAGACCTGGGTCCATAACCTGTTGGCCATTCTAGGAACCAGGTATGTGTGAAGATTCACCCAGGTGATCAGGAGGAATAGGACCAGTTGACGGTCATGATATTTAACCATATAGGAAACTGCTAGACTGTTCTTCAAAGTGACTACACCATTTTACATTTCCACCAGCAGGGTGTGGGGGTTTCCAGTTTCTCCTCATCTTTGGCAACACTTGTTATTCTTTGTCTGTTTTATTATTGCCACCCTGGTGGGTGTGAAGTGTTACCTCGTAATCGATTATGATTTGTGTTTCCGTGATAACTAATGATGAGTATCTTTTCATGCGCTTATTATTAGCCTTTTTTATATTGTCTTTGGAGAAACGTCTGTTAAGATCCTTTGCCCATTCTTTCAAAACATTTTCGCCCATTTTTTAGTTGGGTTGTCTTTTTATTCTTGAGTTGTAAGAGTTCTTTATGTATTTTAGATACAAGTTCTTTATCAGATATATGATTTACAAATATTTTCTCACATTCTCTGGATTATCTTTTCTACTTTCTCGATGCTATCTTTTGAAGCTCTGGTTTTTAATTTTGATAAAGTCCAATTTATGTGTTTTCTTTGTTTGCTTGCCCTTTTGGTGTCGTATCTAAGGA